ATATTGGTTTTAGGTCATATGAGGCATAAAAAAATTAAAAAAAACCATTTTTCTAAAACTTGAATTATCTCCAAATAGAACATGTGTGGGATGGTTGCTTTCTGTATAACGCCGTTTCTGGATTGAAATTTCTAGAACGAATCATTTTATACGACTTTACTCATGGCAACCATTTATAAACAAAAATTTCCATCTGAAATCTCAAAATTCCTATTTGAGTACCTCTCGGGGTTGGTCCTCTCTCTTTTTAAATTAGCCTATCTTTTAAGTTGGATCAAATTACACACAGTGTAGAAATTTTCATCAAGATCGGTCCAGTAGTTTCGGAGTTTATCCCGGACAAACACGTGCCACTAGATTTTTATATATATCAGATAATGTTTGTGGGTAGATTAGACCTCTGTTAAGAAGATAGGTTAATTTACCAAAGGTTAATTTGTTGATTTTTATTTATCGGATTTTAGTACGGTTAGGTTAGGACAGGATTTTGTATAAATTGATTGTATTAATCTACCGTAGGTGGAGTTGAGTAAAAACGACAAACTTGGTATAACTTTGATACATTAAAGTTAAATCATACACTTAAGTACAAACAGCACGGGGTCCGCGATCTTTATAATGTACTTTATAATATCAGAATTTTTATTCCGGGCAACGGAAAAGTTAAGATAAATTTTGAACACCATACACCAGGGCCTGATTTTGGCATTTTGTGGCCTTACGCAAAATCAAAAACGTGCCCTGTCAACAGTATCGTTTACATTTTAGGCTGATAAGGAATAATTATTAAATTTTTTTGAAGTATTATAATATGTTTCTTATATTTATTTTATACGATGAAAGTAGTACTCTAAAATGAAAAATAATGTTCATAAAAACCCGAGGCCCTCTAATAACGGAGGCCATAGGCAGTTGCCTATCCTGTCTTATGGTAAATATGGCCCTGCCATACACCGAATATTAAATAACGAATTGAACAAAGTTTGAGTCATATAGAGTTGGTACATTTAACGGGAAACGAAGTGCACGGGATCAGCTAGTAAACTATAGATTTGTTCTTTGTACCAATTATTATATTTATAACATACAATTTATTATACCTATGTTTGTTTTATGATGCAAAAAGTATATAGATGAGGATATCTATCAATACCTACAGTAAAATAATTTTATTTTTTAAAAAATAATTTAGTAATTTGTAAAAATAGCTATAGTTGTAAAAATGTTAATGTATACATATTTAATATTTATATATTATATGGTTTGGGTTAAGTCATAAAGGTATATTATTTACATTATAATATCATAAGCATGAAATACTTAATATATTTTAATATTTTTCAAATGTTATTGTAAAAATATACTAGGAGCCTTTTATTACATTTTCAAGTTTTATTACCAAACAAATAAAATTGTATTGATATTCATAGAAAAAAAACGTATACAATTACAGACTGAAATTGTCCGTAAACAGTTAAAATAAATCAAATATTTTGAAAATATAATCGTGTATAGAAATTGTGAATATAAATTACCAGTGAAAATCTCATGTATATACGGTAATTTGTTCTAGAGTTAAACCAAACCGATTTTGAGTAAAAATTCCCGTTTTTCCTTAATTTTTATGTTTTTTTTCCCGGCGCTTTGGAAAACTATTTGGAATTTTCAATTTTGACCTCCCAAATGCATTAAATAACTTTCCCACCGAACAAGATACGGTTGAAAAAAATCGAAGCAGTTTTACTTCCCCAAACTGTCACAAGACAGACACAAAAAAAAAAAAATTAAAAATTAACAAAAAAAAGCACTTGATTTAAAATCCATATTATATTCATCGCTCCGTTTAGAATCTAAAATACTCGGATGATTTCAAGAAATTAAAAAATTTTAGTTGAAAAAGTAAAACTAAAAGAGACAATTAATTTCGATAAATATTATATGGTGAAATGTCTACAATTTTCAGAAATAATTGTTTTTAATGTTGCTAATTATTTCTCATGATTATGTATTTAACGAGAGAGATAGAAATGCCCTCTGAACAACAATCCTCCAAATTGTTTTCCTTATTATCAGTATAACTAACAATATGAATTTATAAACACAGTAAATTAAATACTTATATTTCTATTTTATTTTAATAGAGGGTGATGAGAGAATTCTTTAGTCTACCTAACCTATGATTTAAAATCTTAATTGTTTCGTCATTACCCATTAGTACCTCTCAAGTAAATATCACAAGTTTTGAATTAATGATTACTTCAGCCTTGCTGATCGGAGATACATTTTGAATATTATATTAATTTCTTTACTAAATTCATTATCCAACTCCATTGTTTATCCTATTCTTGATTTAAGTTTTAACTCTACATACTAGATGTCTAGATACACTCATATTTCCTTTATTATATTCTCCTCGTCTAATCACTTATCTATTAAACTCTCTTCTCTATAGTGTATGCATCTTACTAATAAAGATCTTGACTTCAACTATAGAAAAAAATCTTTATATTATTCATCAACCGGGGTTATTATTATTATTTATTCCAAGTCAGATATTTTTGTAAGTATTGAATGAACGTTCGACCTTATGCTTTGGGTATCGGACTATATTGTTACATTATAATACAATATTGAAAACAAAATGAACTAAAATATGTAAAAAAAACCTCTGAGTAGGTGACAAATTCCCGAGTTCATCATTCACGTGGACAGTATCGTAGGTATCAGAAAAAAGCTAAATCCTGTAGGTATAATAGGTACATCTTACAAAAAAAAAAAAGATTTAAAACACGATATCGATTGTACAGTAAGTTTATTACAGCAGACGACACGCATTATCATAACAATGGCGTGTGGCATTGTTCACAGAGTTTCTTGGATTCTATTGTACAGCAATATACACGAGTAACATGATAATAATATATAATTTATTATATTATATGTACATAACAATTTCGGTGGTGTTGTGTAACGTTTACTGTACGTTTTAATTAAAACTATTATATTGTTAAGCGATATCGTTCTATACTTACATTCGACGTCGAGTATAATGCGCTTGCTAACTGACGGAGGCACACCGTTGCTAGCGATACAGAGATATGCGCCCATATCCGCTCTGTTGACTCTTGTCAAGTTTAACGTGTCGCCGAACAGCTTCTCCACAGCTGTAAACACACGTATGACAAACAAACGGATGAAAAAAAATTATAGAACCTTGAACGATAACGTTAGGAGTTGTAGGTATCGGGATATGCACTTTATTAAATAAGGATGATTGTTGTTTTAATTATTTTTTTTATTATACCTAGGTATATACTATAAACAACTTAATTAAATACAATATTATTTAGTGGACTGCTCACCCCGTGAACTGCCAATTAGACGCAGTGTATTAGAGGTATTTGTAGAATATTTTGATTTATAGTGCTAAGATATACACTGACAAACGTGGAAGTATAGAAATTCGTATGTAACTTAGTTGAACTTTAAAATCGGTAAATCTCTAGACATATACTTAAAGCTTTGCAGTTGTTCTACCAAAACATTCTCCGTTCAAAACAATCCCAATTGCTTTGTTTATTTAAATTCAAATCTTGACTTATTCAAATGTAATGATCAAAAATGCATTAAAATAATGAATATAATATATTATATAACAATGTATAAACATCTTAGAGTTTCAGATGTAATAAAATATTACTTAAAAAAATTAAATGATGTTGAAAATTTAAATATTTTATATAGGGTAGGTAATATATTAATTATGTTAATCGTTTAAAATAAAAAAAAAGATAAAAATGAACTACGAAATGAACACTTAATATTAGATTTTCATATTTTTGTACATCTTTTACATCTATTAATATTTATTAAATAAAATTAATGAACCATTCTTAAATAAATGTAGTTGTAATGCTCTAAATTTTTTTCAAAAAATATGAACCCAGAATAACAAAAAATATTAAAATATTGAATAAAATAGGTGAATCAATTAGACTCTAGCAGAATACATTAAGAATTTTCAAAGTTCCCTGGCCATGTTACTGATTGTGTATAATGAAACATATTATACAAAGTGCATAACAATTTGAATTTCATTGTTGACATTTAAAATGTATCGAGTACACGATGCCCAATGACTTATGAATCACTTTTATTACTGAAGAGCAGGCCTCTTGCCTCTAGCATGCATAATCATTAATCGATAACCACCCAGAAAAATATCACTATCAATTTTAAAAGTAACGTCATTTGATTATTCAAAGGGTTGAATATTTAGAACGCGGTCCTTCGACTCTTAGTCTTCTTTTTTAGTACCCAGAAAACAAAGACCTAATAACAATATGACTGTAACACAACTTGTACACAGTGGCGTAGACATAATTTCTGAAAGGGAGGGGATAAAAAAAGAAAACGACATAGCTAAATGGGCGGGGGAAATTGGAAAATCCCCTACCCTTTCAAAACTTTTTACTTAGGTAGTAAAATATTTGAAAATAAGGAACAATGAATATAATTTGAGTTGATTCAAAAGTCACATCATCCACATTATGGAAGATTGTCCACTCCAAAGCCAATGTGAGGGGATCTGAACCACACGCACCCCCTTGTGGCCTTGTATACGAGACTGCCTGTACAACACCATAGGTATATCCACTTTGGTTTGACCGTGATTAATTAAAATATAATGGATAATATTTAACTTATAATAATGGACAGAGCAAATATGAGCAATATATTAGGTATTATATTATAATTTATAATCGGAAATCCAGAGAAATATTTTTTTTATTATAAAATATTCAAATAAATAAAACAGATTAGCATTTTAATCAAAAATAGTATGATTAATGTTTATCTATAAGTTATAATATTATTAAATTTAGAGTTTTTTCATAAATACTGTGACAACGAACTGATTTTTTATTGTTTAAATTAAACATTGTTTTATTAAGTAAATCGTTTCTAAAACATTCAAAGTATTTCAAATTATAAAAAGAATGTTAAACACTAACAGCGATACTCAAAACAATTCGTCTATTAAATATTATGAAAACAATTTTAATTATTTGGACCGTTATAAACCACAAGATAATCATAAATTTGGCCGTGGACATATTATTCGTCAATATATGAGTGGTGTAGGCGTTATCACAGAAAGATATATTTCCAAGGACCATTTATTGTTTTTCAAATCAGGAAATCCCTCAGATCATTCTACGTCTAATTACGATGTAAAATCACTTGAACATTTAATCGATGAAGAAGAAGAAGAGGAAGAAGAAGAAGAAGAAGAAACCATTACAACTATGCCGGTAAATTGCCCATGTTATGAAAAAGCATGCGAAGAAGAATTAAAAAAAAAAAAAAGATCGTTTAAAAATATTTTTTCGTCGATGTTTAAAAACTTTCAAATTCAGAAATATCTAAATTATTGAGAATGGATTTATTACAGTAAATAATTTAAAATTGCCAATAAAAACATAATATATTATCATAGTGAAGCTATTTTACTATTTTCAGATTCCAAATAAATAATCTGTTAGATAGGTACTTAAAAAAGTTGAAATATATAAATAAACATAATATCAATTAAATGTTAAACTTAATGTAAGATTTACATTGTGCTTAATGCTCAAAAAATAATCAATAGACCCTCACTATAAAGCTTAGTTTTATTATATATATAAAAAAATTAAACATTTACACAAATTAAATCACCATTATCAAGCTTAAGAATAAAACAATTATATAAAATAAAATGCAAGAGTAAATAAATAATTATAAAATTTGAATTTCCATAAAAATCAATTAATAATAGTATATATGAACCAAGTTTGTTCCACATTCGACCCACGCGTGATAAGCACGTAGATAAGGGCTCAAAATCCAGCTTGATATCAAGAATTAATAAATTTATATTGAAAAAAATCGAATGAAACAAGTCCAAGATCTAAGAGATACAAATAAAATCGAAAAGCATCATAAAAAATACTGACCTAAAGACTTATTGTACTTTCAAAAAAACATTTTAGTAAAAATAAATTGTTTTACAGTAATACAGTAATAAGTATATAGTTATACTCCCTTTTCAAGGGACCAGCTCAAAAGAGTGTCTTATGCGGGAAAGCGTCTTATGCGGGAAAGCGTCTTATGCGGGAGAGCGCCTTAAGCGGGAGTGTCTTAAACCGGAACGTCTTAAGCGAGTTTCACTGTATTATATTTTAGTTAAAGTTAATATATTAAAATTGTTCATATAAAATAAATATTACTTATATACTTCTGAAAACAAATTAAGATATTCTAAACTTGTTATAATATAGTAAAAACTAAAGAATAAGAATCATTATTGGTAATTATTAGTATTTAGGTGATTCTATGTGAATATATGTATTTATTTTTAATGAAAGAAATATTTTATAAGTAGTCTTGTCACAAAGACCAAATTAACTTAAAAAAAGGAAATAATAATTTAGTATTATTAATTCTTTGTAATATTATCAAATTGAGGAAAATATTCCACAACAGCAAACTTTACCTATACCATAAAAATTGGTCGAGAAAATTCAAATACTTTTTTCGATTCTGTATCATGCATTTACGTATTGGTATTCTGCGAAAACTACCTATAAAACCGTTCTATAAACTTGTCTACTTGTAGAAAGACTCCATACAATAGAACCGTATTCCAGGACCAACCTATAGCTCAACTGCGCGTCTGCGTTGTATTAATAAATATTTTCATCTGTAAAACCTTTGTATTGGTATTTTGAGAAAATAATAATTTTTCTTTTAAAAAACAAACGTTAGGTGGGGATTAATACATTTATATAAAATCGAGCATTGAAAGTGTGTTCAAATACTTAACGTAATATTATAGAGATTTACATTTTTATTGAATTTCAATAAAAATAAATTAAAAACAATTATTCTAAATATACTCAATGTATGTCGTGCCTTAAATAACTCCAAATAATAGCTCTTCGAAATTTTTTTCTTTACCTACCTACACAAATAAGTTATTCCATATTACCGACTCATCGATTTATCAATGGTCAAGTGGAAAAAATAACTCGAGAGTCATAGATATTTTGTGTTAATTAAAAATATAATATATGCTCATTTTTATGACATGAAGTGGGTATAAAATATGAGTTTTGTTTAATCGGAATTATACATTGGGATATATTATATAATACATAAAAATTCTCAGATGTTTAAGTTGAAAAGCACTGAATTACTTATTAAATAAATAACAGGAACTCAAGAAAAATAATTAAAAAAAAAAAAATATGTTTGTTCAATTTTAAATAATTTAAATAAAACCAATTTAATAATGTACTAAATAATAAAAGTTTATTCACACGGTAAATCGTGAGTATAATGGTCAAAATATGTACTTGAACCAGATTTTATTTTCTCAGAGGTCCTACACTAGTTAGGTAATTTCTTTCTGATACTAACGGAATTAAGATTACAAAAACAACCCACGTTTTTATGTAAAGTTTCATCAATACAATATACTTTTTTCGAATAGAATAAAAAATATATTTAAGGCGACTTAATTTGATTTTAGACTCAATATCTCACACTGATTTCATTTGATGGTTTTTTTGATTATTATTATGAAACACAAATAGTGAATGAAAAATACCTTTTTTTTTTCGATCCGTCGATATATTAATACCGTCTTCTCTTTTCCAACTAATTTTTGGTGTCGGTGATCCTTCTGCTTTGCACGTAAGGGATAGATTTTGATTTTCCCGGATGGATACTGAAGACGTAGAACTTTCTTCATCAATGATATTTGGTGGTACTGACATATAAAAATTTTAATATGTTAAATCAAAGAATTGTTAGCTCATAAAATATAATCATTTAGAAATTATATAATTTTTAATCTCTAATTCTCTAAGGTATATAAATGTATAATATGTTATAGTATATAAATATTTTAAAATCACGCATGCATTTTATAATGCTACAAAGGTCCGTTAATATTATCAAGTTTTGGGTTGATTTTTATTGTAAATTAATAACTTCAACGCTATAGGCTAAACATTTATGAAAGAACTAATACAAGAAATTTCAATATAATATTTAACTGTTATGAAACTTATTAGTTATTATTTAGTATACATAATATAGTGATTCACCTACTCATTTATTCTCTTTTACTTATTTTTTTAAAATTCTGATTTCTAGGATTTTTATTTACCTATATTTAAGGATCATATTTTCAAATGCTTAGATTTAGAATACTATTTAATGAGTATTATATGGTGATACAAACTTCTTTTTTCAAATGAGAAACACCCTTTTTTCCTTATATTATTAAGTAGATGACTTTTTTTTTTAAAAATGTTGATAGATCTAAATCAACATTTGAGCGAGTATTATTGAGCTATTTAATTTCGTGTACCTTAGATAAAAGGTCCATTATGATAGACAATTCAGAAGATATGAAGGCTATGCTTATATGAATTTCTTAGTAATATATATTTATCTAATCAAACATTATAATTTGTAAAAATGTTCAAAGTAAAATTGTAAGTACTAAATTAAAGTGTATTACATAAATTGTTTATTATTGTAAAACTAGGGATGGAAAACAAAAAAAACAAAAAAAAACAATTAATAAAACAAAAACATAAGACAACTGTAAAACGATAAAGAAAAGTCCCAAAAACAGAAGAAATATAATAAAGAAAATAAATTATAGTATTAAACCACAAAAAAAAAAAAAAAAAATAACTTAAGATAACTAATAATTGTTGACAATAAATTTTATATTTATCAGTGTTTATCTTTATTATGTACTTACTGTTTATTATTTTTGTTTCAATGCATAAGAGCAAATTTTTTATTTTGATTCTTAGATGTCTTTTATATTTTTATTTTGTATACAATATTGTATGTTCAGGATATTTTTTATTATTTATAGTTATTTACTCTATAAACTGAAATAGTGTTCCACTTACTGATTTCGTTAAAACTTTTAACTTTAAATTTTGAATTTTCTAATTTTCATATAATTACTTTATAATTTTGATTTAAAATTTAAATATTAAGAATTATTCGTTTTAACTTTTAGGTGAATTCCTGTATTGCGGGTATTACTATTGTAACTTATAGGTTATAAGAATATATATACAATATAAAAAAAAAAAAAAATTATCATAAACGTTATTTGGAAACAATATAGAAAAATAACGTTTTTGAAAACATTTTCCGTCCCTGTGTAAAACCATTAATTCATATATTATATTTTAAAAATAACTCAGAAACTAACTCGTTTGGATTTTGATTCAGATTTAAAAATAATAAAATCTTCTACAGCTTAACAATAATTATTGACAGTAAAAATGTTTGGTTCTCATTTGAAACAATTAAGTTTACAACGCTACAGTACACTCATTGAATAATAAAAAACAATTCTGGTTATTTGAAAAATGGTCCTTGAATATTCTTTTAAAAATTCCAAAAATTAAAATATGAATAAATAAATTATAAATGGAAAAAATAGGGTCGAACATACATTGCGAAACACATTATATACATCACCTATAATACAATTAATATAATATCTGGCAAGGATTTTATTATGTCTAAGTTTAATATTGTTTGCAATTTTGCATAAGCAAAACATAATATAAACATTATAAAAAGTATGTTTTTTCAGTATGGTAAATGTATTATTTCACCAAGTAAATGAGACATAATTTGGAAAAAAATCTTCAATTACTCAAATTGGTGGGACTATTTCATGAAAACTGACAATTTCGTGAAATATTTTCGAATTTCCTGAAGTGTGAAAAATGCGTTGAAATAACTTTTCTTGAAAAGATATTTTTCACATAGCGGTTACTAATATTCTAATTCCATTAAAACTGTATAATGATATGCAATTTAGAAATAGTACTAACTCTAGCAGCGATATGTTTCCTAGACGGTACATGGCACAGCCAAAAACATACTCACCAACCACCTGTAAGTATCCAACTTGACTGATCATGGGGTTTGTGTTCACTTGACACATATAATAGCCTCTGTCTTCAGGCTGCGCGCCCTTGACATGCAACAGCCACGTTTTTTGACTATCATGCGTAATCCCAAATCGTGGTATTCGGGCTATCACGTGACGATGAATAGTCAATATCATTTGCCGATCGATGTGGATCCACGCCACCTACAATGAAACAAAATAAATTTACCATTAATGATCATTAAGCAACATAATATAGTGTATACAAAATACATCTGATAAACAGTTTAGGTAGGTACCCGATTCAGTATCGTGGTAGGTACCTAGTAATTAAGTATGTCATAAAACATTTCAGTTGAAAAAAAACAGAATTTTTTTCGGGGGCTATCTACAACCACTGGTTTTATTTTAGCCATCATAGTACAGATAGATTTTTATATTTGTACGCGTTTA